ATAGCCTGATCATTGATGGGGTTAGGTCTTCTGACCAAGGCACCATCTTAAACCATATTGTGGCTTTCTTCTCCTCTCTCCTCTCTGCCAAACCTGACCAGGGGTTCAGGTTGTCTTCTAACTTTTGGGACCAGGGGGTCATGGTCTCCCCGGAAGAAAATACTGCCCTGATGATTCCTTACTCTGAAGAGGAGATCTTCTCTGTGATTAATAAAGCGAACCCTAACTCTGCCTCGGGCCCGGACGGCTTTTCCATCCCTTTCTTTAAAAAGTTCCGGCCTCTTCTTAAAGAGCTTATTTGTGAAGTCATTCAAGGCTATTGTCTGGGGACAGTAGATATATCCAGGCTCAACTATGCGGTGATTTCCCTTATCCCTAAAATTAAGGGTGCCGAACTTATTTCTCAGTTTAGACCTATTTCTCTTATTAATAACTTCGCCAAATTCCCTGCCAAGTGTCTGGCCACTCGCCTCACCCCGATGGTTCATCAGACCCTTTTCCCTACTTAGTCGGCCTTTGTCAAGGGTCGCTTCATCCTGGATGGGGTCCTCTGCCTTCATGAAATTATCCATGATATCCATAAATCAGGTAGCAAGGCTGTCATTCTTAAATTGGATTTTGAAAAGGCCTACGATTCGATGAGTTGGGGCTTCCTTAAACAAGTCCTACTGGCTAAAGGTTTTGACAGTGGGGTGGTTCACCGTATTCTGCAGTTGGTCATGGGGGGCCATACTGCCATTAATGTCAATGGGAAAGTTAGCAATTTCTTTAAGAACTCTAGAGGTCTCCGGCAAGGCAACCCAGCCTCGCCCATCCTCTTTAACTTTGTGGCGGACGCTCTTTCTAATATTCTATCTAGAGCCGCGGAGGCCGGCCATATTTCTCCTGTTAGCTGACACCTCATCCCGCTCACCTTCAGTACGCGAACGATACTATTATTTTGGTGGAATTGAATGATCACTGCATTGCCCATCTCAAATTTCTGCTCCTCTGCTTCGAAGCTCTCTCGGGTCTTAATATCAACTTCTCCAAAAGTGAAGTTATTGTTACTGGTGTGCCAGGTACCGAGGCCTTACGGGTGGCCTGTCTCTTGAATTGTTCTCTTGGTTCGTTTCCTATTAAGTATTTGGGTTTACCTATCACCTCTGACAAACTCCTTGCTAAAGATTTTGCCCCTACGGTGGCCAAGGTTGGTAATCGTGTAATGCCCTGGAGGGGTAGGTACAACACTCAGGCGGGTAAAGTGGACTTGATCAATGCTTGCCTCTCTTCTCTCCCGATGTTCTTGATGGGCTTCTACCTTCTTTCAATGGGAACCCATGCTGGCTTTGATAAACATAGAGGTGCCTTTTATTGGAACGCGGTTGATAACAAGCGCAAATATCGCTTGGTCAAATGGGACCTTATTTGTAAGCCAAAAAGCCTTGGGGGGCTGGGCATTATCAACACTCTTGTCATGAACAAATGTCTGATCATCAAATGGTGGTGGAAGATCATGACCATACCCCAGGACAAGCCCCTCTGGTTCAACATCCTCAAAGCGAAGTATTTTCCTTCTTCTAGTCCTATGTTTGCTCGTGCCTTGGGGGCATCTTAATTCTGGAAAAACCTTGTTAAACTCAGGCCCCTTTTTTCAAGGCCTCGTCAAATTCGTTGTTCACAATGGTAGGTCCACCAGGTTCTGGCTAGATTGGTGGTGTGGTTCTTCTTCGATGGCTACTGCTTTTCCTGTTCTTTTTTCTTACTGCCCGGACCCTGAGATCTCAATCTTTGAGCTCGCGTCGAATAATTGGGACCTGCGTCTGCGTCGCTCGCTCTCTCCCGTAGAGTTGGAAGACTGGCAGCGTCTTGCTGCTTTCTTCCCTTCGCTCTCGGAGGAGGAAGACACGGTTGTCTGGCCCCATTCCCCTTCTCACTACTAGGAAAAGGGCTATAGATGAAATTGACACTAATGGCGCACCAGACATGTGGTGCGCCACTACTATATACTAATGGCGCACCATGTGTTGATGCACCATTAGTGTCCAAATACTAATGGCGCACCACATCCACGGTGCGCCATTAGTAACAATATTTTTTTATTTGTTTTCAAAACTAGTAATGGCGCACCAGGGGATAGTGTGCCATTACTAGTTAACTAGTAATGGCGCACCACATCCACGGTGCGCCATTAGTAAAAAAAATTCAATTTTTTTTATTTTTTTTCAAAACTAGTAATGGCGCACAAGGGGATAGTGCGCGCCATTACTAGTTAAACTAGTAATGGGGCACCACATCCACGGTGCGCCACTAGTATTTTTTTTCAGTTTTTTTATATTTTTTGAAAACTAGTAATGGCGCACCACTCCCATGGTGCGCCATTACTAACTTGGCCCAAAAATTCCCTCGCATGCACCCCTCCCCGGACCGCCTTTTTCAGTTTTTTTAAAAAATAAAAGAAAATGATGAAAATGTCAAAAAAATAAAAGAAAATAAGTTTCCCATGTGATATGTGGTCTAGTTGTAAAAAATATCTCTGGAATTTGTAAAATCTCTCTGGAATTTGTAACATGGGCATAACTTTTGCATACGAACTCGAATTAAAAAGTTTTCTATATGAAAAATCATCTACTCGAAAATTTACATCCGAGTTTATTCACCAGCTATGTGCAAAAAATCACCACCCACATGTTCTCATTATGGAAAATTTGACACTAGCAATTGGTGGTGACTTGCCATTTGCTAACGTATGTTGCTTCTTCACTATATGATGCTCATGATGTTCGGTTTATCGAGCGATCTTTCAAATAAAATATACTGATGTTGCTAACGTATGTTGCTTCTTCACTACATGAACCCCGTTAAACATTTTCAAAATCATCAAAATTCTAACAGAAAAAAATTTATGGGGCTTTTAAGATGTGGAGGCAAAAAAATTCAAAAAATTTCAAACTTACTAATGGCGCACCGTATGCTAGGTGTGCCACTAGTAACAGAAAAAGAATTAGTTTCGATTTTTTTTCAAGAATTTTTTTTTCAAAATATGATACGTAATATGAACGCAAGTTTGAAATATTTTTTCAAAAATTTCATCACACTCATGAACATGAACAAAGTCCTAAACATCAACAAGGTTTAATAGGATTGGTATGCTAGATACATCAATATGTGTCTGTGAAGTGAGCTGGTGCTGGGGTTGGATAGAACTCTGAAGTTAAGCGTGCTTGGGCTAGAGTAGTGTGAGGATGGTTGACCTTTCGGGAAGTTTGACCATGGAGTGTGATTTGACCTGAGATTAAGCATATTGATCCGAGATTAAGCCATAGTGACTCGAGATTAAGAAAAAAATTGAACTTTTTTATAAAAAAATTTGATTTTTTTTTGAAAAATTTTATTACTAATGGCGCACTTCTATGTGGTGCGCCATTACTAAGTCAGATAGTAATGACGCGCCTCTAGGCATACTAATGGCGCACTACATGTGCGCATTTAGTATCTGACATACTAATGGCGCACCAGTGGTGCGCCATTAATAAAAAATACTAGTGGCATGGTACTAGTGGCGCACCAGTAGTGCGCCATTAGTAGGCAAAACTGGTGCGCCACTAGTAGGCCTTTTCCTAATAGTGTCTGCTCGGTTCTCGGTTAAATCTCTATATGGTAAGCTCATTGTTGGGTCCACCACCTTCAAATTCAAATGGATCTGGAGGGTTCGTATTCCTCCTAAGGTCAAGGTTTTCCTTTGGCAAGCCTCTCGTGGGCGTTTGCCGACGGGTGACCAAATTCGCAAGCGAAATGGACCGGAATCTGATAGGTGTGCCTTGTGTGGGATGAGAGAAGACACGACACATATTTTCTTCAATTGTGTGTTGGCTGATCTGTTCTGGTGTTCTATCAGATCCTGGATGCATGTCTCCTGGGCTCCGACTTCCTTTTCTGACTCGCGCATCCTGGTCTATTCTTTGGTTGGGGCCCAGAGGAGATTGTTTTGGGTGGGCTTCGCAGCCATGTGCTGTTCCCTTTGGACGACAAGGAATAAATTTACTATCGAGCATGTTTTCCCTGCTAAGCCTGCTGATTGCTATTTAAGACTTGTATATTCCTGCAGCAGTGGAGATTATTGACTAAGGAGGAGGACAGGGACGTCCTCGACGCCATGTTGGCCAAGATCTGGAATTCTGCTATCTCCATCTCCCCAGTTCAAGCAGGCACTTAGGCGCTAGTGGCTTGCTTTCATTATCTTTCTACCTCCGGCCTGTGAGCCGTGTACTGGCTTGGGAGCCATGTACTTAGACTATTCTCTCGTGTTGTCTGGGTTGATACTCTGCATGTTCTCGTGCTGGTCATATGGGTCTATGTTAACTCTGCCTGGTGATTTTATTTATAAAGTCGGGCTATGGCCTTTTATCTAAAAAAATATACGGAATCCAGATTTAACAGTTGGTCTGTTTAGAAAATATTCTGAATCAGTGCAATAATGTGCCGAGCTCTGTTCCGAGCAGTAGTTGATCTACCAGCAAGCAATAAATATCTTTGCTGCTGCTCTCAAGAATTGCTTGGCTAGTGAGAAGTGAGTGAATCAGTGAAGTTAGATAAGCCACTTGCAATAGGTAAAACAGAGATGGAGACTCATATGAGATTCGACAGTGCTTTCTTTCACTTGATTATATATGAGATATGACACAAGGCGAAAGCAGCTGTAGCTAAATTACAAGCAACTACACTACACAAACAGACTGGTAAAAGTAAAACCATCTGCCAACAAAAGCTTTCCTGGAAAAATCATGGAGGCTCTTTGTCAAAATCCACAGCCTCATGTTCCTCTCACACACAGACACACTACTTCAGTTTCAGCAGATTGGAAGACGACTGGCCAAAACCCAAACAGAGAAAGAGAAGGAAAAAAAAAGAGACAGAACTACAGAACAAAACAGAGCTGCCGTACAGAGCAGAAGCAGAGGCAGTACTAGTGTTTAGGGGGAATTGATGAACTGCCATGGCCGTGCGTGCTCTAGCTAATCCTAACGACTAGCCACCTCGTACCTCGCGAGAGCAGTGGTAGTGGTTGGGTAGTGGTGGTAATCCATGGCGGCGTGCTCCCGGACCCGGTGATCAGTCGCAGCTTCGTGGGGGCGCGGTGTGTAGTCGCCGTTGCCAGCTTCGACGCCGACCTTGCTGTGCCACGCAGGATGCCTCGGCGGCGTCTCGCTGCCAGCCTGGTCTTGCAAGTAGGCGGCGTGCTCGGCTTTCGGTGCGCCTTCTTGGTAGGCTTTGTGCCCGGCCTCGTGGACGGCGACGATGGGCGGCTGTCGGTACACCGGCGCCGGCTCTGACCAGTAGCCGTGGCCATGGTGCCCTCTGCTGCGGCCGTAGTCGTCACGTCTGCGGCCGCCGAAGCACGAGCCGAACTCCAAGCACATTCTTTCTTGGTGGCGAGTGGTGACTGGCGCCGGGTGCTTCTTTGTGTGCTGGGGGACTACTGGTAATGGGAAGCAGCACTATCCTGGAAGTAGCTGCTGGGGGTATCAGTGCAGGGGTGGTGTTGATGGCCCTGAAACTGACAGTGTTGGTGTGGGGGGGCTGGGTGATATATATTCGGCGCCGAGAAGCTCAGTGCGGGTTCGGTTCACCTTGACACGTCTCCCCAACCCTAGCTGTTGCTGTTTGCGGGTTCGTCGTTTCAGCTTCGGGCCCGCGCTCTCCGGTCTTCATCCAGGGTCAACCGTGCCCGTGCGAATCGTGGAGGGAGGGCGGTGCCGCGGGGCGGCAGAAAACGATCCTGCCGCTGGACGAAGGATGGACTGCATTTTTTGGGGGCCGGATAATAATTTGTCCTGTCAGCATGTTGGACTGGCCGGTCGTCGTGCCGTGTTTCAGTTTCAAGCTTTCAACACGGCGCACATGGGGCGGGCAACAACGACGTTGGACTCTTCATTCACTGGTTTTCGCTAAATCTGCCGCGCACTAGATTCTTTACCCGTTCAAAATAACAGTTTTGCATCAAAATACAATTAAATATTTTCTGTAAACTCTTGTTAGCGGCGGCAGAGCCAAGGAAAATTAAATGAGGGCTGAATGTTGTTAAGTTCTTTTTCTGAAAGCATCAAGATTTTATTTCTCAGATAATCGAAAAAAGGTTATTTACAGGGGAATAAGAAATAAAATCAAGGAACATGGAGTCCCAAACTTTAGAAGTTCTTTCGCTAAAGGATTTCTTTGCTAAATCATTAGCAACTTCATTTGCTTCGCGGAGTCGGTGGGTGTAGGAGACCTTCGCAAAATCCATTGCTGACTCCTTACATTTGAGCACAGTTGCCACATCTAAGCCCACATAAAGTTCTAGCTTGTTGCACCGCCTCTGCTGCAAAACTGCAATCTGTTTCGATATCAACTTTATTGCACCAGATTCTTCCTGCTAGGTGTAACCCATTCCTTATCGCTGTGATATCTGCCGAATCAACTCATCTAGTTTGTGAGAGAAACCAAGTTGATGCAGCTACGAAATTTCCTCTTCCATCACGGCAATGACACCTGTCGCACCCGATAGTGTTTCGTGTTGGAAAGCTGAGTCTACGTTGATCTTGATGGCATCACGACATGACTTCTTCCACACTTGATCTTTCCTTCCTTGTCGGCTGTTTTGATGTGTAAGCTCTAATGTAGTTCGTCGCAAGGACTTTAATTGAGACTGCAGATCTGTCCAGGTTTTGGATAGTTTCTCCTTCCACATATTGACGGCATTACCACCGAATATACAATGATGCTACCGTCACTAGCTCAGTTGTTTGCAAAACCTCATGGACTGAACAATTCCTGGCCAAAGTCTCCAAGGTTACTGACCCCGAACAATCCTCTCATAGTGCCTTTTCTGTAATTTCATGTAGTCCAAGTTCACACCAGATTTCTTTAGCCCGGCGGCAAGTGAAGAGGACATGCTGGACATCCTCAACTCCAACTTTACATATTGGGCATTGTGGGCTTAGAGGTATGTGCCTATCCGCTAAGATTTCCAAGGAAGGGAGTGATCCATTCAGAGCTTTCCATGCAAAGTGCTTGATTTTACCAGGGATTTAGAGGTTCCACACTTCCTTCCAAATGTTATTAGTTAGCATATTTCCCTGACCATCAGCTCGAACTAGTCGCTGGCCATACTGGTGGTCAAACTCTCGATGGTAAGTAGACCGAATTGAGAATGTCCCATGTCTAGTATAATTCCATGCCACCAAGTCCTCTACCATCTGGACGTTAAGAGGGATTTGCAAGATCCTGTAAACATACACCGGCGAGAAAACGTCTCTGATCAAACTTTCATCCTAGTGGCCCGTATACGGATTAATGAGTTCCTCCATATATGTAAGCATAGTTGCACCTCTAGGGGTAATGATCTAACACGGATCTTGCCATATGTTTATTTGTGCTCCTAATCCCACGCGCCATACACTGCCCCTTTGAAAGGTTTGGATGCCAAAAACAATACTCTGCCACGGGTATGACGATCCCTTTTTCGGACCAGCCTTTAGAATGCTGCCATCTGGATAATACTTTGCACTCAACACACGTGTAGATAAAGAGTCCGGGTCCTGGAGTAGTCGCCAACACTGCTTTGCTAACATAGCAAGGTTGAAACTGTGAAGGTCTCTAAACCCCAATCCCTCTTTCTTCTTCGGTATGCATATCCCCCACCACACAAAGCAGTGCATCTTCTTCTTATCTTTATGATCACCCCACCAAAAACCTAATATTTCATCTGCAATTGCTTTACATATTCCTTTGGGCAGCTTGAAAACTGACATAGCGTAGGAAGGAATAGCATGTGCCACAACAACTGTTTTTAAGCTTTGTTGGGAGGGGTAGTCCATTGGCAATTAATCACTACAAGAAGGGTTAGGCATGATTTTTTGCATCATTGGTGTTGTTGGGTTTCCCTAATTTTTCTACTTCATCTGTTTTAAAATATAAGGTGTATTGGGTTTTTTAGAAGTCAATCCTCTTTAAGCTTGGCTAAATTTTTAGAGAAACATTTTCAGTATACATAATATCAAATCAGAATCATTAGATTCATCATGAAATGAATTTATATATTCTATTTATTGAGTATTGTGGATGTCGATGTTTTTGGTTATCGATTGATTTTTAAAATCGTTGACTTCATCAAAATTGTGAATCAAATCCAAAATTGAATACCTCAATCGTTAGGGGAGCTCCTAATTAGGGACTACAGTGGATTTGAAGAATTGAGCGACAGAAATCCATGAGAAAAATAGTGTTGACCAGATCAAAATCTGGTGACCCAATTCCAAATTGGAGTCCTCAATTGGCTTAAACCAATGAGGCTGTTGGGGGAGAGGGGGGAGGGAGGTCCCCGGTCCTTATTAGTGTTGTCATCATATCAGAAGGCAACCTAAAAAATGCCTTAATATCTGGTCTCTACACTCGAAGACATGCCAAACCCAAACACGTGATTGTGAAGCTTCTGGACAATTGGTTAGAGTGGATAAATCGAGCATCTTTTCTAGCCCAAGCACTAAAGTGAGTATGAAAGCTAAAGTCCGCTCTTCCCTGAATATTACGACCGAGGCTCTAAATGATAAGTACTTGGGCCTCCCTGCTACTCTCGGCCTAGATAAGAGTGACAATTTTCAGTACTTGGTAGATCACCTGATTCGAAGGCTACCGGGGTGGAAAGAAAAATGTTTGTCAGCTTGAGGGAAGGAGGTGCTTCTAAAGGCTGGTGCTTCTGACTGTGTGCGGGAATAACATCTTTTCTCCAGTGAATGACCTCATTGATCCTTTCATCGGTGACTGGGATGAGGAGTTGGTTAGACGAACTTTTTGGCATGTAGATGTTCACAGAATACTGGCTATCCCTCTCGCTCTACATGAGATGGAAGATCTGTAGCTTGGAACCCGGCGAAGCATGGAACTTTTTCAGTGCGCTCTGCATATCAGGTGGAATGGGAGTTCCAGTATGGGCAAAAAGATTAGCCGACCAGTTCGTCATCCAACCAACTGGATGTATGGGATTCAGTTTGAAACCTCAAATGCCTAGCCAAGATAAATATCTTTATATGGCGAGTGTAGCATAGTGCCATACCATGTATTGCAATTCTAGCAGCGAAGCATATTAAGGTGAAATCCCACCGCCCAACTTGTAACTAAGGCACGAATAATACCATACATCTGTTGTTCCAGTGCAAAAAGGTTGAGGAAGTTTGGAAAATGATGGTGGTATATGATGTGATCGAGTGGGCGTGCAAAGTGAATCGGTCTGGAGAGGTAATCCTCGAACAACTTCTCTGTCTCCAGGACTCGGATGTTCATGTCTTGGGTTTGCCAAATCTGCGAGAAACTATATCAACCACTGCCTAGTACTTATGGTTTGAACGGAGACAACTCACTCATGGTGGGCAAACACAAACAGCAGCCCAAATTCTTATCGCATCGAAAAGCCTTACAGCGAACTATGTTATCGCATGTAGTCTGAGGGCGAAACAATCAACGCCATGGATGAAACCACGCCCAGGATATATGAAACAGAACATGGACGCTGGATTTGATCAAGAAAACTTAAGTGGGTCGCTCGGTGCAAGTATCTGTGATCACACTGGAAAATTTATTGCCGCTGCAAACGAAAGATTGAGTTCTTGTTATGATGCTTTCACAACTAAAGCAATAGCAGTTAGATTTAGACTGAATTTGGCAAGTATGGTGGGTTGCAGCAAGACTGAAGTGGCCTTAGATAATGACGGGATTGTCAATGATCTCAGTAAAGGTGGCTCGAATTCAGTAGCAAGTGCCATTATCAATGATTGTTTCTTGATGAAGTTAGATTTTAACCATGTCTTGTTTGAGCATTGTAATAGAGATTGTAATCAGGCTGGTCATGAATTATCTAAGTTAGCTAAGTACTCTACTCCTAGTGTCTAGATGAATTCGCCACCAGATGAGCTAATCTTTTTCCTTGTAAGTGATAACATTGTTTTAATGGAATGAAGAAATAGCTGAGTGATAACCCACAAGTACAGGGGATCAATTGTAGCCTCTTTCGATAAGTAAGAGTGTCGAACCCAACGAGGAGCTAAAGGTAGAACAAATATTCCCTCAAGTTCTATCGATCATCGATACAACTCTACGCACGCTTGACGTTCGTTTTACCTAAAACAAGTATGAAACTAGAAATACTTTGTAGGTGTTGTTGGATGGGTTTGCAAGAATATAAAAAGCACGTAAATAAAAATTAGGGGCTATTTAGATAAAGACACAATAAATTTAGTATAGCAAGTGTGGAAAAGTGGTGGTAGGAGTTGTGAAATTGTCCCTAAGCAATTGACTACTTTACTGACCGATGGCAAGTTTTATGTGGGAGAGGCCACTGCTAGCATGTCATCCCTGACTTGAAATTCTTTGCACTTATGATTGG